ACTGTTGAATCATGTCGGAGAATCAGAACTGCGCGAGAATGACGAGAGCGGCGGCGAAACGAAAAGCTTCGTCCATGGCGATGTCGACCACCGACGACGACCGAGTTAGTAAGAAGAGAGTAGTTCTGGGAGAGCTTCCGAACATGTCCAATGTCCTTGTTCCAGTGATGAATCCCAATCAGGAAAGAGAGACCCAGAAGCTTAAAACCATCGTTAATGCCGCCGCGAAGAAGCAAGTAAAGAAGGCTCTGATTCCTGTGCCGGTTGTTCCACCGACCGTAGACTTCGAATCTCGATCTGTTGATGATCCCCAGATGTGTGGACCTTATGCCACCGACATCTGCTCGTATCTCCGTGAAATGGAGGTAAAAAAACCATCTTCTAGTATCTCGATTTCGCAAACATGGTTCGATTTTCGCAATTTTGATCTTATAGTTTGCACGATGGTTATCATGAAAAGAGTTCAAATTTATAGTTTCAGTTTACGTCATTTGGAAATTGGCATTTTGTTTGGACTTAAAACATTGTGGATTTGATCTTAAAGTTTCTGATTATTATCGGTTTTAATGGCTTTTTGTTGGCAATTGGATTGTTGAAATTCAGGGGAAGCTGAAACATAGACCACTGCCTGATTATATTGAGAAGGTTCAGAATGATCTAACGCCGAATATGAGAGGGGTTTTGGTGGATTGGTTAGTGGAGGTTGCTGAAGAGTACAACCTTGAGTCTGACACACTCTATCTTACCGTCTCCTATGTCGATAGATTCTTGTCGTTAAAGCCGATTAACAGGCAGAGGTTACAGCTTGTGGGAGTTTCTGCGATGCTTATTGCTTCGTAAGCATCTTAATCTTTTTTTTGCTTATTCTGTGTTTTCTGAAGCTCCTTACGCGGTTGGCTTATGGAATCTTTATTTTGCTTTTAAAAAAGTAGGAAATATGAAGAGATAAGTCCTCCTAAAGTGGAAGATTTTTGTTACATCACTGATAATACATTCACGAAACAAGAAGTAGTGAAGATGGAGGCAGATATACTTCTTGCTCTGCAGTTTGAGTTAGGAAGTCCCACCATCAGAACATTCCTAAGGTTCGATTTTGATGAAGCAATCTGGTGTTTCTACTAACTTTTGATTGTATGGTTTTTACACGCCCTCATGTTTATTGTTTGCTCTTTGTTTGTGTAGACGGTTCACAAGGGTTGCGCAAGAAGATTTCGAAGTAAGCTCAAACCAATCTATCTTTATAATTTATATATATCTGAACTGTGGCATTTGCATTCTATAATTATTAAATCCTCCTTTTTGCATGTTTTCTATTCAGGATTCACATTTGCAGATAGAGTTCCTTTGTTGTTATCTATCAGAATTGAGTATGTTAGATTATAGCTGCGTCAAGTTTTTGCCATCTCTGTTGGCAGCTTCCGCTATTTTTCTTGCCCGATTCATCATCCGTCCGAAACAACATCCTTGGGTAAGCGTTTAGGAGCCATGACTAGTTCTCTTTACAGAAACTTATTGTATTCTAAATTCTCTTTTGGTAATCTAAACAGAATCAAACGTTAGAAGAATACACAAAGTACAAAGCTTCTGATATGCAAGTATGTGTGTGTATCATACATGACTTGTACCTAAGTAGAAGAGGAAATGGTCTAGAAGCTGTTAGAAACAAATACAAGCAGCATAAGGTAAATCTACATTGCAATGATAATAATCATTATCTTGCACTATGTTAAAACAACATCCTTACGGAAATGATTCTCTTTGGTGCACAGTACAAGTGCGTTGCGACCACGCCTGTTTCACCGGAGTTGCCTCTAGCCTTCTTTGAGGATGTTACCATTAGAGAGAAGGTGCAAGGAGCTTGAAGCTTATGTGCTGGAAATGTTGGTGCCTATTTTTTTTCGTTCATTTTTGGGTTGTATTGTATATAATCATTCTGTTGTTAGAGTTGCAGTTTAGTATTGAAATTCTCTTTCAACTTTTGTTCAATGATTTTGCTTACATTAGGTATTAAACTCTTTTTCTTTCTTGGCCATTTTTTCAATGGTCATGAGCTTTGATTTGTTCGGTTTTGTTCTTTTTATTAATGATGAAATCATGTAAAAGCCTGATCATATATAGGAAAATATCACTTACACATCCTGTGGAAAAAAGTACAACAAAAAGTTGCAACTGCATACTTGTAATAACTCTAATTATCACTTTCTCATTTCGACATGTATAGAGGACGAGAAGTTGTTTACGTATCTTGAAATGTAACATATGGCCGGCCTGAGGGTAAGTTATAATGTGCAGCTAGCTATTGGTGACAGTCATTCTTTTGGGAAGTTCTATCGAGGAAGAAGACCAAGGAGAAGGAAGGAAATTGCTGTGTGAAATAAGGTAGACTATAAAGGACACATAAGCAGTCGTCCAGACGCAAACCGTAACTCCAAATAGAAACCCGTCAACTTCTGATACAAAGAAATCCAACAGAAGATAACCATTGATGATCATTACAAGCGCAGCCACGGTCCAAGCTATTTTCTGCAGGATAATCAATTAAAAAAACGAATCAATTCACAAACCCCCAGTTCCAAGACACTTAGTCATATGACTCGTATCATCACACATCATGCTATTCTATTCCATTGAAGGACTTTCAGTTCTGAATGGTTTACAAAGATAACTGACAAGCTCGAGCAATCTACAAGTGGAAAGACTTAATTTGACAAAAGAAGTTTTGAATTAACCTGGAGAACGGGACCAATCTTGAAGTCGCCCATTATTTCTTCCTTGGATACCAATGTAAGAAGCGGGAGAAGAGCAAAAGGTATTTGTACAGACTGAAGCACGTTAAGCCATTCATTCAAAACATCCAAAGATGCTTCAGAAGTGTTGAACACAATTGCCACAATCATGGTTGGCACAATAGCACAGCTTCTTGTTATTACTGCTCTCATCCATTTCTTAAGCCGGAGGTTCAGAAAACCGCCCATTATAAACTGTCCTGCATAAGTTCCAGTTATTGTACTACTTTGCCCAGCTGCTAACAATCCAATCCCCCAGATGTATAGAATCGGTAGAAGTCCGCCTCCAAACTTCTCCTGAAGATACTGACCAGCATTAACTAGGCCAATGTTGTTAGCTTTCTCTGTTCCATAAAACCCCTTTGCAAAGACAGTAGTCACAAACAAGTTTATCATGAACGAGATGAATAGAGCGACCGATGACTCGATCAAATAGTAATTAAGCGCCTCTTGAACCCGTGATTTCCTCTTTGGATCGATTTTCCTCGATTGTACAAGAGCCGAATGTAAAAACACATTGTGAGGCATTATGACACAGCCAACAACACCTACAGCTTGTCTAATCGTCTTTGAGCTAAGCCTCGGGAGTAAAATACCTATCATGAGCACAAAGAGCTGATATTTAGCACTCAAGCAAGCAAAGAGAGCGAAAAAGAAGTAAATGATCTTCCTTTACCTATCATAAGTTCTTTTCCATTTGGCTTGGTCTCACCAAACATCCAAGCAAATGACAAACCCATAGTAGCAATCAACACTGCAAAAACAGCTTCTAACTTCCTCACACCGTAATTCTCTAGAAACAAAAATAAAAAACTGTTTGCAAACAGATGTAAACAATTCATTAGCAATATATAAATATTTCTTCAAAGATGATCTGATTCGTTGCATTCAAAGG